AGTTTCCTTTCTTTATGCACCTCTACTTTAGCCCTTGATCTTCAGAAGACATATATCCCAATTTTTTAATGTCATACAAAGTATAAAAATAAACCACTGATCATGAATGTGCATCTTGTATCGTCTTTTCTTCTCAAAAAACAAACTTTTGGCAATAATGACCTTTGTTTGACAGTACTACAATAGGAAAGGGACAGAGAGAAGGGAGAAAAGACAACAGGACTCAAGGCCAGGACAGCCACATGGAGGTCTGTGGCCCCTGTACCTGGGGCGACAACTCAAGCTCTGCGCCACACGGCGCTCTGGTAACATAGGCTTTTAGAATGCATCTGTAGCTCCCAAGTACTTTATAGGATGAAAGGTTTCAAACAGATCACATAACAGAACACACACTAACTTATAAATAGTGCTCTTGTTCTTATTTGAGTGTTTTTGTTATTTAATATAGTTTGCTCTTTGAGACTGTTATGATGGTAGCGACAGAAACCAAAGTCTAATTCCTTGTTTGAACTTGGCAAATAAAGCCAAGTGATGCCTTGTGGTATTTTCATTTTGTGCATAAGGCTTTGCCATTTTCAAATATAGAACCTCTTAATTTTATCATGGCTTGTAAAGAGCAGTGACTGCACTCTTACCACAAACTAAGGTGGTAAGAGCAATATACATATGTAATTTATGTTACAAAAAAAATTCTGTTTTCCAAAATGCACTTTGTTATATCTTGTTTAGACTTATGTGTTGCATTGGTTTTAGAAATGCCAACATGTGTGGCTAGAAATTGAATTAATGCATCCTGCTGACTGACTTATCACCATCAGGATAAAATTTATATACAAACATAATGTAAATATTACAATGAGGGTCAGGTATGCCTAAATTTACATAAATTTACATATTTTAAAAACATGTAAATTTACATAAATTTACATATTTTAAAAACATGTTAACATTTATATTGGAATCTATTTACAAATTGTTTTTTACCTGATAGTCTTGAACAAACATGACTAACATAGATAATTAGTACGGTTTGAGAAACAATTCAAAGCAGTTAAGATTAACAGGGAAAGTGGAGTTGCTGCTCTTTTGAAATAAGCAGAACCCAGCTTAGGTAATTTGAGCTTTTGGTTGGGATGCCAGGAAACTGTCTCTGGGAAAGTGTTTTGAAAATGTCAGAATGGGAGGAGGCTTCTGGGCAAATCTTTTGGCAGGCTTAGCCATGCTTTTCTGTTTCTCAGTAAAATTTGGCGAGTGTTTCTAAGGAGAGGAAGTTACGGGGAAATCATTTTAGACACCTCAGACCCTGACAGCCAGTTTAAAATGGACAATAGTCATTTTATTATGTATCAATATTTGTCTGCACAAGATGATTTCTGATTTTTAAAGTGGGGTGGTGTGAAGTACAAGTGATAAAGTCTGTATCCTATTAGCTATTGAGGAGGGACAGCATGTTCTGACTTTTTAAAAGAAGCAGAACATTATGATCCAGAGTTGCACTAAATTAGACAGGAAGATCACATTGTTTTACATCCTAAAAAACTTATTCTGAATGTACAGTAAATGCTACATCACGGATTAACTCTAGAAGCCTACTACATTCATGGATTGTGGAGCTTCCAAAGACCCATGTGCCAGGCATATTAATATCAGATAGATATGGTAATAATAGGGAAATTACAGTTAGGCAATTCTGCATTCCCAGAAATAAAACCAAACATAGAGAAGCAGCATTCAACCTTATTGCTGAGATCCTTTATACAAATACACTGGATGATGAACGAGTCCATTAGAAACTTAATAAAACATTTTCTGTACAGGCATAAGTCAGAAAAAACACACAGAAGAGCACAACTATAATTCATCTCATTCATAATCCTCAAAATTATACTTTAAACATAGCGTTTTTTCTTGTTTTATTCCAGCTATATAATTTGCAAAAAGAAGAAAAAAAAGTGATATCCAACCATAAAACAGTGTCATAAAACTCCTCTTAATTTACAGCTCCATAAAAATACATTCTTGGACGACAATAAATCCCTGCCCTGATGCACTTTTTATAGTTCTTAAAAAAAGAAATCATTCTCACAAGCTGGGAGGGTTTTTTCTGACTCTATGGACTCTATGGGAAATCATTGATGTTGATGTTAAGGTTTTCTGTCTCACATGGAGAATCATGTGGGTCAAAAGAATTAGAAAATATATGTTTTATAAACGGCAGACACACAAAAAATGTGTCAGAATTTCGGGTGTCCAGAAAGAGAGGCAATGGCTAAAAGTTAGTTGAATCATGTGAGATGCTGGGAAGAGATCTTACAGTTCCAGGATGAAAAACAGATGCCAGGAAGGCTTGGAGATCCAGGCGGTGGGTGAAAGATGTTGGTGTCTGGAAATGGACCTTGTCAGAAGGGAATCCTTTAATTGCCATTGAAACCTCAGTGCGAAGTCCAGCAGGGACTGAGCAGAGGACACTGGGAAATAGGCAGGCAGACAGAGGTGAAAAGTGATGGAGCAGCCAAAGCATCCATGAACTGAGAAACCAAAGGAGGAGGATTGCGTTGGAAAGGTGAGTCTTTGACAAAATAAGGTCACCTGTGACAGCTTCAACTTGGAAGGCTGAAGCTGTCAAACTTCTCCCGACTATTTCTCCCGAATAGTTGGGAGAAACAAGCAAAGTAAACTTGAGAATCTAAATTACTTTCACTTGAATACACAAAATAAATCGTTACGATAGGTTTAACAATACCCAGAAAGGTCAGAGAAAGAGAAGTCCTTCAACTGCTCATGATATCACCAGCCTCCAGATGACCTGAGAGTAACCTGGTGTGTGGTAAACAGGAGAGTCGTGCCCTCCAGCAGAGACCCTCTTCTCATGATTTTGTTTCAAACAGGAACACAAAAGCCCAACACTCACCCAGATCCTGAAAATTGGAGCACATAAACAGACTAAGACAATAAGCAAAAAAAAGGAAAACTATGGCTGGCATGAAGACAGCAAAAGAAATAATTACATATTCAATATGCTAAGTGACCTTTGCATGCTCATGCATCTGTAATATTATTACCACAGCAGTTACAACCATGACCATCAATTATTTGACCAACCCTGTCTACCCACCTTAGCTAATCGTTTTATTTCCCTCCTGCTCCACTCTCTCTCTCAACAGACTCCAACTCATTTTCCATCTCTTTCTGTTTTTCAGTATGTAACCTATATCTAAAAAGTGGGACAATCAGTACAGTTAACTTGTTCCTCTCAAATTTTACCTCTAATCAAGTATTTTACCTCAAAGTTTGTCAATAACAATCATCCTCGTCTTTTCTTTTGACCCTGTCAACTTATCCTTTATTGCACAAAACAAACAAAATTAAGCTCCATTTATTCCCTTTGTTGTTTGAACTATGCTTTAGCTCCAAACAACAAAAGGTCAAAGAAGAATAGACTTGCTTATTTATGATGGAGCATCTCCAACCTCTCCTCTTAAATATTGTTGGAAAAATTTTTTTCAGTATCACGCTGTTCCATTTTGGCAGATATATTTCAGGCTGCGACACAAATGTTTTCTTGTAGCAAGAAGGTCCTGGGCCCCTGCATGGAATATGCATGTTCTCTCTGTACATGCCTGGTTTCTCTCTAGGCACTCCAAATTGCTCTCAGTAAAAAAGCATGTCTGTTAGGTTACCTGTTCACTCTGAATTGCCCTCAGGTACGAAGCATTCAAAACGTACTCACAGCGCTTCATTTTTTTCACATTTTGATATGGTACACTCTTCTTTAAAATAGTTCCAAATTAATCTCAAAATTCTACAGACAAATATGACATAATCATGTTAAAAAAGCTTGAAGTGTTTTGCAAATTTGTTAAAAGTTGAAAACCAAGAAGTTCACATTTCATTTTTTCCCTTAGTGCCATTTTACTGTGACAGAAATTCAGTATCTTTTCTCATCCCTTCTCTCTTATACTTTTTCTCTTTCACTATTTTTTGTTTTCTCCTTTTTCTCTTTTTGCGAATCCACCAAGGACGTGGATGTGTCGTCTTCTGCCCAAGCCCCCGCCCTCTCAAACCCACTTTCATTTGCTAAATCTCTTCTCTTCCGTCTTATTCTCATCTTTCCAAAAGATAACACTGTGCAAGCCATTTCATCTTTCTCCTCCCCACGGAGAAGACTGCCCAGCGGAGAAGCAGAGTCAGCATTTTCAGCATCTTCTGATGTCACACACCCTTTGACCCCCTCACTCTCATAATACATTCTAGACAGCTGAGGAATTAAGAAACAGCTGGGGGTTTTTTTGTGTGTGTTGTTTGTTTCTGTTTTCATTTTGACTCTTCTGCATCAGGCGAATTCACAGCAGACCGACTTTCAGAGCAAGCATCGCCACTGTTGAAAACTGGTTAACTGGTGAACTCAAGTTTGAGAAAAAAAAACAAACAAAAAAAAAAAACACAGGAAATGTAAAACATCCCTGGACCTGGCGTCCAAAGTCTGACTTTTTATATGTATTGGAATTGGGAGCAACAATTTAAATAATTGACTGAAGAGAGGGAGCTTCCAGACAGACCGCAAGTTAAGAGTGGCGAGGAATGATGAGCAGGGAAGAGTTTGAGTGACGAAAGAAGGCAAGGGGGCAGAACATGTGAGAAATTGCGGGGTAGAAGAGGGGTAGAGAAAGAGAGGTGGAGACACTTACAGTGAAGAGAGGGAGAAGGAGTGACGGGGAGGCTGAATGTGTTAATACACAGGAACACTGCATCAAACCAATGCACTGCTCTTAGGCTGGCTGAGCAGCTGAGAGGAGTGCGTCAGCAGTACATTCACGTTCCCACTGAAGGACAAAGGGAGGGGGCAGAGCGAGCATCTTAGCTGCCTGCAACACCGACACACATTGGAGGGGGCTGGGGGGGGGGGGTGTGTGCAGAGAAAAGAGAGAGATTGGAGAATAAACAAGAAAAAGAGATGAGGATAAGAATGCTGCTCCTGCTGTTTCTGTGACGGTGGGCTGGCTATGAGAGTGCACGCGTGGCTTTCCATCTCTCCCTCGCAAACTCTCCTTTGCCCACTCTTATCTTTCTTTTGCTCTTAATCTATCAGGGATTCTTTCTCTCCTTTTTTTTTCTTCTTTTAAGCTCCACATGCACTCGCTCTGTGTGCCACTCCGACTACTGCAGCAGTCCACCAGCCAGCGTCAAGTCTGACAGCCGCACACATGGCTAACAGCCACAACTTACTACCTCAGCCCCGGAGAACGAAATAACCACAACAAAAAAACGCCAGCAGAAGGACGCTTCAGGAGGCAGCCCATGGGGCAAAACAAAAAGCGAAGAAGAGAATTCCCAACATTTTCTCTTGTTTATGGATACAGACACGGAACCCACTTCCACTGTTGTCCTCCCAGCGTCATCTTTTCGCTTCTCTCTTGTTGCAGGAGAGGACAAGAGTGCTCTCTCTCTCTCTTTCCCTCTCTCTTCCGTCAGCCTTTTGCAAAGCTCCGACAGTGCAGCGTATCCCCCCTCCACCCCCCTCGAGCCCCTCAGCCCTCCACAACACCGCCACCATCTCTCCCACCACCCTCTACCCCCTTCTCTTCCCCCCCCCAGGAGGAATAGACGGATTACTGCTAACTGTGCACTCGGCAGCATGCAGCTGCTCTGACCGGGGCCAGCCCAACGTTGAGAGGAAGCAAGAGGAAAGCAGAGGATGAGCGAAAAGGGTGATGACTGTGCCGGGAGTTCTTTAGTCTTTTTTTGTCTCCCACTCTCTGTCACAACAGGGCTAATCAGCGACCGACAAGCCCTTGGCAAAGTCACAGTAAGGGAGGTCTCTCACCCAAACAGGCAACCAACCAACGAGCCAACACATGTACCAGGAGATGACAGAGAGGGGGATTTTTGTCTTTAATTTCAGTTAGTCCCATCTTTTCTGCTCCTCTGTGGCAATCAGCTACGTAATGGATCATTGTGATTTATCCACGGTGGAGCAGCATTTTGGAATCTGCAGCCCGGCAGGAGGGGAGTCAGTGGAGGAAGAAAGGATCTAAGCACCTGCTAAGATTTCATGGCCTTACCTTTTGCTCTCAGTGTTTTCTTAGCTGGTTTTTGTTTTTAAATTTGAGAAGACATTTTATATCCTTGGCTAAAAAAAAAAAAGAAAGAGTTGCATGACTTTTTTCAAGAGACGGGGGACAAGAGAGAATTTATCTTCTGTCGTTTGATGGAAAGGATTTCTCAGTTAATATGACTCATGGCTGTTGCTTTTAACTTTTGGGAAAATGGAGCACCTTTAAACTAATGAGGTAAGATAGTAATGTTGTTGCTCAACCTTTTTCTTTCATTGCTAATCTGCTTTTCCTCAGCTGCTTTTCTTAGAATAACCTTTCTCATTCTTTCTCTGCCTGTTTCCCCCTTCATTCCTTCACACAAAAATGTTGATGCAGCATCTTCCTGCACTGTCGATGGAACTTGGGAGCCTTGAGCTGCTCCAGCCAGGCTAGGGTGGTCTGTCCTTCGGTGTGTCCCGTCTCCCCCCACCATGCAGAATAATGAGCCCTCCACACCATGAGTCCGTTGGCGCAGGTTAATGTGCAGTCTACCTGGAACACAGCCCTGCTAGCCGTGGTTTTCCTCATGGTGCCTGCTCTTAGTATGTGCCAGTCCACAGGGCCGGAGTTGGGCTCAACAATTCCACAGAACTGTCCAGGTGTTTGCTCCTGCACTAACCAGCTCAGCAAGGTGGTGTGCACCCGCAGAGGCCTGATCAGGGTACCTCCGAACATCCCAGCCAACACCAGGTACCTGAACCTAATGGAGAACAGCATAGAGACCATACAAGCAGATACCTTCAGACATTTGCATCATCTGGAGGTGTTGCAATTGGGCAGAAATGCAATCAGGCAGATTGAAGTTGGGGCTTTCAATGGTTTGACTAGCCTCAATACCCTGGAGTTGTTTGACAACAGACTAACAGTCATACCAAGTGGAGCTTTTGAGTATCTTTCAAAATTGAGAGAGCTGTGGCTCAGAAACAATCCAATTGAGAGCATTCCCTCTTATGCCTTTAACCGAGTTCCTTCACTCATGAGACTAGACCTGGGAGAGTTGAGGAAGTTGGAGTACATCTCTGAAGGGGCTTTTGAGGGCCTTCATAACCTCAAGTACCTGAATTTAGGGATGTGCAGTTTGAGGGAGTTTCCAAATTTGTCACCTCTCTTGGGACTGGAAGAGTTGGAGATTTCTGAAAACGTTTTCCCAGAGCTAAAGCCCGGGGCCTTTCGTGGGCTGAAGAATTTGCGTAAACTTTGGATTATGAACTCTGCTATCACCATCATTGAGAGGAATGCATTTGATGACATCACTGCTTTGGTGGAGTTGAATCTAGCCCATAATAATTTATCATCCCTGCCCCATAACCTGTTCACCCCTCTACAGTACCTGGTGGAACTACATCTACACCATAACCCTTGGCGCTGTGATTGTGATGTCGTTTGGCTTTCTGGGTGGCTCAGAGAAAATATACCCACAAATTCCACCTGTTGTGGACGCTGTCACACTCCAGTCCAGATGCGAGGAAGATACTTAGTGGAAGTTGATCAAACAACGTTTCAGTGTTCAGCACCAGTCATACTCGATGCTCCAAGAGATCTGAACATTTCTGCTGCAAGGGTGGCGGAAATGAAGTGTCGTACAGCAGCAATGAGCTCGGTCCGATGGCTTCTCCCCAATGGGACTGTGTTAACCCACAGCTCAGCTCATCCAAGGATATCTGTTCTCAATGATGGGACGCTCAACTTTTCCAATGTTCTCCCTTCAGACACGGGAGTCTACACTTGCATGGTGAGCAACATGGCAGGCAATTCCAATGCTTCTGCCTATCTCAATGTCAGCAATGCTGAACTTAACACTTCTAACCTATCCTACTTTACAACTGTCACAGTGGAAGTGTTAGAGCCCACAGTGGAGGAGACCCCTAAGCCCAAGCCAACTTTACCCGCTTCACCCTCTGTTTTTCAACCTGTGTTCATCTCCACACCAACTGTGCTGTTCCAAAATACTCAAACTCCAAGGCAGGTATCAATTCCTACAGCCAGAGTCCCTAGTGGGCCACCTGCCAGCCTGGATGAGATGATGAAAACCACAAAAATCATCATCGGCTGTTTTGTAGCTGTTACATTGCTGGCAGCCGCCATGTTGATAGCTTTCTATAAACTGCGTAAGAGGCATCAGCAGAGAAGTACTGTGGCTGCAGCCAGGACAATAGAAATCATACAAATGGAGGAAGAGGTTCCACCTGTTCCACCACCTACATCCGGATCTAGTGGCTCTGACGAAACAGGTTTGGTACTGCCAACATTAGTGGAACACAACAGCAACACATTTAAACCTGGATATGTGTCTTCTTCCTCTTCATCCCGTCAAGGGAACTATGGGGCTCACTGGACCCAGAACAACTCTCTCCATCGCTCAGTCAGACAGCACCACAGCCACATCAGCATCATTGCTGATCCCTATGTCATAATGACCTCTCACGGCAAGGAGAAAGTTCAAGAGACCCAAATCTGAATTACGCTCCCTGTGGATCTATTTATGACTCGGTCCAAACCTCTGTTCTCAAATCTGCTCACCAGTCCATGCAATATAATGCACAAAGAGCAAAATGTTAACTTTCTTTTGTACAGAAGTGCAAAACAGACTTTTTTTTCTTGTACATGCCTATACATAAATATATAAATATGAAATATATATATATGACTGAAACTCCAGCCAGACATTGGTTAAAAAAAGCAGAATATATCAAGAAAGAAAGTAATTTGAAACTATTTTCTAATATCTGATGACTTCTATTTAAAAAAAAAATAATAATAATTTGCTTTTCTGACTGAAAGTAGAGAGTGGTACTGTCTAATGTAAGTAAAGAGGCATTTAGTTTTTTTCACCCCATTTAGGGAAAAGTAAAACTCTTCGTAAAGGCACCAGTTTATAATTGCAATTTAACATGCAAACTCCTGTTTTTACTGTGCCAAATATGCAATAAAACGGAATTCCTTAACTAAGGAACAGAAAAAACATTATTAAAGTAATGATAGACATAAACATTTGTCCTATAGCAGCAAAATAGCCGGGATAAATTGTGCTGTTTGGTAGCTATCAGCCAAATGCTTTTGGACTGCAGTGAATTTCTGCAGCTAAGAATTAACTCTGTGTTTGCTGGCGCAACGTTGTATTACTTTAGACAGTGCCAGTGCTTTTTTTGTTGTTTTGTAGCGCATCTGAACATGTTTATTTGATGTGTACATGATTTTCCACTGGTTCAACTGGCAAAGGTGACATGCAGTCTAATAACAACTGTTGCTAAAATTTTATTTTCTGTCATTGGTTGCATTTTGTATTCTCCCTTTAGGTTTTTGACATGCTTTTTAATGGCTTGTGTAGTGTTTAGGGCTAGTTTAGTAATGCATTACAGCAGTTGCCTGACTCGTCTCTGCAAGGGCTCATTCCAATGCTAATTTTTCAAAAAAATAGACATGTTGTGCATTAAAATGGAGCTTTGCTGATGATTCTACTTTTGGAATTACAAAACACCAAGTATTGAAGTCAAACAAATGAATGTCCGACACTGGAGCTTTTCCTTGGACTAAACTAATAAATTATTTTATTTTACTTCAGTTTTACCTTTTATTTTTAGCAACACTATTTTTATGGAGCAACAAAGGAGGCAATGGAGGTAATAAAAAACATCATTTGGTTTGTATTTCTCCAATCTGAAAGACTTTCATCTGATGTTTTTTTTCCTTCTGTCAGTGTCTTTATATTTGTGTAAGTTGTTTAGTCTTAAAGGCTGAAGGCAGTAATGTAAATGGTATCTTACCCCACACCCTTATCGTACAGTCCTATGCATTTACTTCGTGTCTGCATGAATGGGTCTTTAAGTAATTGGTGTACAATGCTGCATTATACCCCACAGTGGGGCTCTATGCAGGTCAGATAAGCTGTTGGTCTTTGATGCCTCTGCTTAGTTCTTAACATTGATTTCTTAGTTACTGTGAAGGGGGAAATACATGTCTGACAGTTATAACACAGACTGTGCATTTCTTTTCTTACATTCTCAAATTATGTTTTGAATCTGATATTGAGAAAAGAAAAAAAAAGCTTATGTTGTGTTAACATGAAAAAATGAAAATAATGCAAATTACAGCGCGAGTCAACTTAAGCAATTTGCAGTGACACCGAACAACAAGAGAGCAATTTGTTTTAAAGTCTAGCTTTTTTTTTTCATCTGATGCTGTTTGTGTCAGTGAATTTCTAAGCAATGATCTTGATGTCATGCAGCTACAAAGCCAGCTACCATAACTGTGGCTTCTTTCTGTGATCATTTAAATGCCTCTTCAGTGATGTTAAATTGTTACCATTTCTACAGTCACTCAGCAGTTTTCCATATATTGTAATGATTTGACACATGCTATTCAAAAGTGTAAGTTAATGGTCATTTGAAAGTTTTATATTTCAGTGCAATTTTTCTAATGCTGAACAAACTTGATACAAAGAGGAAATTAAAATATGACACCTGTGAAAATAATAAAGCATTGTGAATTGAAAGCACCACCAATATTTCATTTAAATTGTCAGCACATGACCTATCGTACATCATGCAGAATTGTTGGCACCCCTGACAAATATTTGTGAAAAGAATTTTTAAAACGTCTTTTTTCGGTAATGATATCAAGTTTAATAATAATAAAGAAGCAATATTAAATTTGAATACATTTATGTAATGACAAAAGCATCTTAAAAATAATTGTTTTAGACAAATTGAGTCATTTTTACCCCTTTCATGGAAAAAAGATGATTTCTGGCTTGATTTGACCAAATGTTATGGATAATTTTCCTGCCAAATGATTATAATCTGGTCAATTTTCAGTTTTCTGGTAGAATCTGCTTCATTTATATTTAACATTTAAATCTTAAAATTGTTTGAAGAGAAACAAGTCCACAGGATCACAGATCATCTGCTTAACCCTGGTCATAATGTGCTTTTTACACATTCGTATTTTGTTTCATATTTGGAGTGTAACAAGATACCATAACAGGAGACTTTGTGAAATTAAAGAAAACATAATATTTTTCCTGAAAGTGAAGTCGTTTTTGTGAAGCGCTGCCCAAGTATGTGATGTCAAACTGGAGTGTTAGCTCTTATTGTTAGCTCTGAATATGAAGGTTGGCGCCTTTCGCCTCACCACTTGTTATAGCTAAGTTTGAGATTTTTATTTTGAAATAATAAAATTGCGTTGACAGAGTCTGCTAATAAATTGCCAATCACGCTTGGAGTGTTGGGGAATTCCTAAATCTAATTAAATTATTTTTCCAGAAGCATTTTGGGAACCAGAGAATAAAAAATTAGACTAACAGCCAAGATGTGTATGATTTGTATGTACCACAGGGACACTGCAACTGCTTTACCATTATCCCAGTAACAATGAACAAATCTTTGTGGGTCAGCTCACACTTACTTTTTAAACATGTCAAATAAAGATGCAAAAACAGCATGTGGCAAACTTGTTTAGGTTTAGTTAATGGCATCATGGATGGTAAGTCGTTACATTTGCATCCTCAAATGCAAAACCCAAAATGCAAAACATACTTTGCGCTTTCTGATGATCAGAAAGCGCAATGGATGTTTTGCATATTTATGAAGGCGGACACACTAGATTAGTTGTACCTGCGATTCTCCTCATTTCGCAATCCTGTTCGCATGTTGTTTGTAGATCAGGTTTGTGCATAATACCAAGTTTGTTCATGTGTTTATTACACCCGCAAATCTTCAAAAAATCAGACTCCTAGACTAATCAAATGTAAACTTGACAATTCTATGCATAACTGACTCCTTCAAACAAATTGGTAATTACAAAACCCTCATTTTGTTTGTGAGAACACAAAAGGAAAAATAATTGTTATTTTTGCTAGTAAACTCACTTTAAAATGACACAGGCTTAAAAACTGACATGCATTTGCCAAATATGGACTTGTGGACACATCTGGACAATCTGTGATTTGATTTATGAACCTTTCCCATCTTCATAAATAGAAAAAAATAATTTTTAGATTTTCCCCTAAATATTGTTAAAAAAAATGATATAACGTCTGAAAAAGTCTTAAGAAAAAATGTGTTGGTATGCAAATTCAATCTGATGGTTGTGAAACTGATTTAGTTACCTCAAGATGTCATACTGTGCCACAGTTCCCTGAAAAAGTAATTTTGTTTTCACAGTTTTGGGTGGACAGAGAAAACTGACCTTTGTGTCATGTGTCATTTATACCTTATGGAAACAGAAGTTTAAGCTGCTACTTAAGAGTTCCTATCTCATTAACTTAAAAAACTGAAGCATAAACTTAGAAAGATGTTTACATTTTATATATTTTCAAGGCATTGCTACAGGTAACAATACCTATTGAAATTATATCTGACACTCAATTTTGGGTTTTTATAATTTCTAAGGTATATTCATTAAAACTACAAATAAATAAATAAAGTCATGAAATATCACACTGTCTGTGATGAATCCAATGAAAAGAATTTCACTTCTGATTAAAATATAACATTGAAATATTATTCTATGTTTTAGCTAGACAGATATAGATGAGCCATCGAACCCCACAATGCCAACGCTACCGCTTCATGAATGTACTTAAGTTAAAGATTGAAATGTTTAAAATTTTTCTGTTATTACTACCAATTTTTTTAAGACTTTATTTAGTTACATGGACTGGAAACAAATGTGAATGTGCCCTTCTTTATACAACTTTTTTTTTTTTTTTTTTTTTATATAATACTGCTGGTCCAGCAGAACAAACATGCCCAGTAATTTTCAGTTTTTTCCCAGCATCATTTGCAAAAACAGATGTGTTTTGCACATATTTTCAAAACAAATAATCTATTGGCCAGCGATTTTCAAGCTTTGCTTCGGTCTAAATAGAAGAAAAAAATGAGCTAGTGTTTTCATCTGGAGCAGGTAAACCACTACAAGCAGTCAGACTCAAGTGTTTTCTGATTTTCATTAATATCTCTTTGAACTCAGTCACTAGCCATGCAGCTCTTTGCTTTAGCCAAATTGGATGTTCTTGGATGTCTCAATGTGTGTGGGTTGACAAAAACAGCAGACTCATTTCTTTTTCCAGCACAACGTGGCTCTGGCTCTGTTAGGAATCCCGCAAGAAGCTTCTAGCTGTTTGTGAGGCCTTCTATGTGTTTTATTACCAGATACATGAAAACATTGATAACTATTTATTTTCTTCAAATATTGTTTTCTCCTCTTCCTCTGTTTAGCAGCTAAAAGAGAGTAAAGTCTGGAATTACCATAATACAGTCCATTGGCTGATCTGACTGTGCTGCACCACTGTCAGGCATGATATGTTGAAAAAGACATGTTTACTATGAAGACAAGCATGTAGGAAGCCCTCCCTTCACAACAGTAGGGTGCATATGATTTTTTTTTTCTCCCGAGTGGCTGCTGACAGCTGAGTTGTTTGAATTTTACTGGATCTTGGATTGTTACAAAGGAACCATCCGTACTGCCATCTTCCTCCCTCATTCACTCCGTTTCCCCTTCCTCCCTCATGCACTCCCTTATGTTAATATTATTGCCTCAACACCTCAAAGAAATAACACCCAGTTTGTTATCTGCTCTGCAAAATATATTTTTATTAAGTTTTGCAGTATGCACACAAATTCCCACTAATTTGTTTTCATGTTTTACTCCTCCTTTTTGTGATACCTGGCTAGTGGGTGTTACTGATAAGATTTGAGCAACTTGTCTTGAAAGATGAATCTTCCAAGAACCAATAGTGCATGCTATTTGTATTAAAAAAAATGGTAAAAAAGAATTACTTTGTGAGTGGCAGTCACACTTGCAGAGAAGCAAAAACAAAAAAGTGTTGAGATAAAGTTCTATTTCTGGCTTATTATGAGATAGAGCAATGCCCAGAGCTTGTGGATCTGTATCTGCTAATGAAGTTTCTGCAGAAAGAGGTACTTTTCTATGCCTAGAAGGTTACTGAAAGAAATGACCCATGGCATTCCTTATAGTGAACAGTGGCCAAGACTGCATTCTCATTACCCCAATAAAGCTTGATTGATCATCTTACACTGGGCATCACTATGCTATAACTATTGTGAGTCTGAGCTCTCTGCATAGTTTAATATCTTAAATGGCAGTTTGGATTTTCTAAATGGAGGTTCTGTAACAAAAAAAAAAGCCTGCTAGGAAAAGATGTCAAACTGAAGTTTACAGGAAAGTAAAGAAACTCTAAGAATGGTGTAAGGTGTAAATGTTTCTTCAGACACAATACTGAATTAGTTGATGTTAAATACTTTCACAACAAAGTGTATGTGTTTCAGCACTGTTATCAACACTTTCAGTCTGAATTGTTTCAAATTCAGTGCACTTTAAAATCAACTAAAACATGAGCCGAGTCTGATTACCTAATACTAATAAAACAATCACACAGTTTTGCTTTTTAAAGATCAAATGATCCCTGTAATGGAGGCTGCAACAACAAA